GATGCCAGTGCCAGGGAGACAAGACGGCCAGTGAAACCAGCTGTGGTGAGGACACTGCAGGATCGAGGGACAGGTAAGTGGCTGTATTTTAAAAGTCAGCAGCTGCAGGTTTTGTTTTTTTTCTTCTTCAGCTGGAATTCCACTTTAATTGGTATTAAACCCAAAAGCAAACATTTATTATATTGCAGCTTACCAATTCTTAGATGTGATGGCTGCATTTGTTTTCTTTTTTAGGGTTTCTTCTATTGTCATCTGGTGATCCGCACAGTAAAAATGTTTTTACATTACAGAAACCTGACATTTTAACAGGGTGTGTGTAGACTTTTTATATCCACTGTAATTGTAAATTTCAAGTGGAAAAATCCTCAAAAAAGTGATATTTATGTTTGTGAATTTGATATTTTTAGGAGAAAATGATCATGAAATAAAATAACGAGTGCAATTGAAATAATGAACCCATCTGAGCTGGATGGGCGAGGTAGAAAGAAAAGTGCGACGCTAGGGCATCACGACATGTAAAGGGATTCTGCCTCAGTACAGCTGTACATGTAATGTTCTCTCATCGCCTCCCCGTCCTGTATGCTGTTTTTTTTTTTTCCCCGGCCTGATATCCTGCGAGTGTGGGGTCACTGCCATCCCTGCTCACTTGGTCCCTTTCCTACAAGGCTGCAGGTCACATGCTTCCTTTATCCTCTTGGGGGCACTGTTCACACATAGGAGCCATCACCGCTCATTGGCATCCTGCTGAGGAACTGCATGTCCCAGCATGCCCCAACCGCTAGGTAATTATAGGGAGAGAAGAATGCAGATATTTATAAAACGCTTGCAGGCTGAAAACCACAAAGTGTCGTCTGTTTTGTAAAAAAACAACAGCAAACAGTAAATTTAACTGTAGGGGGGTATTAGAGTGTAAGCTCCTCTGGTACAGTGACTTATGTGACTGGCTCGATTTTCTCTGTACAACACTGCAGTATATGTTGGAGCTATATAAATGTATAATAATAACAACAGGTCTTTTTTTCAGCCAGAACATGGGGGAACTCAGTTCCGGCACCTCCAGCATTGAATGTATGTAATGGCAAGGGGTGCTGGAAGGTCTATCCATGCTGGTTTTCTTGGGATCTATTGTTACTGGAGGGGATCTATTTTTGCATGGTGGTCTATTGTTGCTAAGGAGGTCTATTGTTGCTGAAAGGGATCCACTGTTGAGGGAGGGGGTCTATTAATTCTGGCTGCTGGGGGATCTGTTGTTGCTGTTGGGGGTCTATTGTTGCTGGGGTGGTATTTTGTTGCCAGGGTCCATTGTTGCTGGGGGGGGGGGGGGGAATCTATTTTACTGCTTTTCTTGTTATCATTACCACCTTCCCTAAAAAATTCTCTAAGGATCTGCACGGGGGGTCAAACCAAGGCTCACTAAAAGCTAACCTCCAAGTACTAGGTCAGAGTACTGGAGAGAGGGAGGGGAGAGCAAATATGCTAATTAAATACAATGCTCTCCCTAAGTTAAAGCAGTATGGTCTAAAATCATCATTATTGATGGGAGGGGTGATCCGTTGGATCGGTGCGTGTCCAATCCGAGTGGGTTTTCTGGGTGGGAAATGTGTCAGACAAATTTGCATATTTTTGAATAATCCCACAGCTAAGGAAGGAGTATGCAAATTACATACATATGGAATTTGTAATTGGATCAGAACACTCTCCCTAATTGGAAGATCAACAAAAGAAGTATGGCATATGGGGGGGGGGGGGGGGGGGGGGAAATAAATTGGGTGTATAGTATGCAAATTAGGGAGACTTTGCAATTGGCTTGCAGAAACACTCTCCCTAATTTGCAAGAACAAAAGGAGTATGGCATAAGGTGAGGAAAAAAATAAATAAATAAAAAAGAAACACTTCATATTTGGTGAAGGTCAGTGTGCTTGTCCAGATCAAGATCAAGTAGGGGGTGCTCCCTGTCAGGAGTCTCATGTCCTGGGGGATCAGGGTAGAGGTCCTACTCCTTCAGGGGGTGGACAAAGCACACCACTAAGTGCACTTATGGGTTTTTTTGCACTTCTGCAGACTTAAAAAAAAACAAAAAAAAACAGTTCTTATCACTGTCCAGTAGGGGGCACTATGCCTTCATTCTTGCCTCTTGGCTAAATGGTTAGCACTTCTGCCTGGGTTCTAGTACTAGAGTTCAAATCCCAACCACGGCACCACCTGCCTGGAGTTTGCATGTTTTCCCTGTGCCTGTGTGGGTTTCCTTCCAGTTTCCTCCCACACTCCAAAGACATACGCTGGTAGGTGAATTGGCTCCTGTATAAATTGTCCCTAGTATGTGTATGTATGAATGTGAGTTAGGGACCTTAGATTGTACGCCCCTTGAGGGTTAGGGACTGATGTGAATGTACAATATATATGTAAAGTGCTGCGTAAATTGACGGCGTTATAGAAGTAACTGAAATAAATGAATCTTTTAATTTCCTGTACATTAGGTGTAAGAAATACCCTAGCTGTACATTTCATACTAAACACCAGGGGGCAGCATCACACCATTGCATGAGGAGCTGGAACATGACACTTCTTCAGAAAAGATTGTGATTGGTAGAGACAGGCTGACAAATAGGCAGACAGCTCATTTTCAAGGTATATGATAATCTTTAATTTAAACATACCCATGAAAAGCAAACCTTTTAGCAGGGGTAGACTGACAATTCATGGGGCCCCCGGGCAATAGGGATCATGGGGCCCCTGTGTCCTCGCCCACACTCAAAGCGCACCCAAAAAAGCCTATAAAAGGTACCAGGCGCATTTCATGGGGCCCCCTACTGACCCTGGGCCCATGGGCAGTGCTTGAATGGTCAGTCCGCTCCTGCCTTTTAGTAACTTCTCAAGTCTGCACCAATAAATTCCTTACATGTCACAATATACAGCAACAGCTCCACCTTTTAATATTAAAATGCTGTCCTTGAGCTGCAGCCAGTGGCTTTGCCTAGGCTGAGATGATGTCATCAGCCTGCTGCAGGCGGGGAAGGGGGGGGGGGCATTTCCTCAGTCATCAGACTGTACCTTTGGAGCAAATCACAAGGTGAGAGGCTGCAGCAGGGGCTGATCTGTGTCAGACATTTGTGAACACAGCTAAGAACTGCACAGACACCAGGATTTACATGATTGTGTCATTTCTGAGCCAGCTATCTCAGTCCAGCTGACTCTGGATGATGCCTGAACATAGATGGTGCCATCTGGAAAGGATAGCAGATGAAGACATTGTCTGTGAGATGCAATACATGGAAGGGTTACACTGACACATTACTGAGCATACATGGACTTTGCATGAGTCATTATGTATTCAGAGTCTGTTTCCTGACTACTAGGGCACACAGTAGATACACAGTACTTGTCTGATAGAAAACAATTGATTCTGTCTGAGAGATTTTATTCCAGGATTTGTTGAATAGAGGAGCTCACTGACTGCAATGTACAGTGGCTAGTGGCTAACCTACAATCAACCACTAGAGGGAGCACCTATGATCCTCTAGATCAGTGGTTGCCAGGTTGTGATTAGAGATGAGCGAATCGAACTTGGCGAAGTGGAATTCGTTTCGAATATTAGGAAAATTTCGATTCGCGACGAATCCGAAAATTAGCAGACTTCGGATGCGCGAATCGAAATTTTTCCAAAAAAGCGGCGACATGTGCGGCGATGGAGCGGGGATCTCTGGGAAGGCGCGCAGACAAAGCGCGCTGACCCATAATGCATTCATTCATGACATGTGATCGCATTAGCCAATCAGCAGCCAGCCAGCCAGCACTGTGTAATTTTTTTTAAGTCCGCAAACGTGGAACTGTAACGAAAAAACCCGTAAGTGTCCGCAAAAAAGTGCAAGTGCAGAAACACACACACTGTGTAATGGTCGAGCTATAAATTGCGGCCATTTTAGAATTCTCCATTTGCCTCCAGTCATTCAAGAGAGGCAGACCTGGCTGTATTCAGGGAGAGAGTTAGGGACACAGAAACGTTACTTAGGGCCACAGAAACCGTTACTTAGGGCCACAGAAACGTTACTTAGGGCCACAGAAACGTTACTTAGGGCCACAGAAACGTTACTTAGGGCCACAGAACCGTTACTTAGGGCCACAGAAACGTTACTTAGGGCCACAGAATCGTTACTTAGGGCCACACAGAACCGTTACTTAGGGCCACAGAAACGTTACTTAGGGCCACAGAACCGTTACTTAGGGCCACAGAATCGTTACTTAGGGACACAGAATCGTTACTTAGGGACACAGAACCGTTACTTAGGGACACAGAACCGTTACTTAGGGCCACAGAAACGTTACTTAGGGACACAGAAACGTTACTTAGGGCCACAGAACCATTACTTAGGGACACAGAACCATTACTTAGGGACACAGAATTGTTACTCAGGGACAGACACAGAATTGTTACTTAGGGACACAGAACCGTTACTTAGGGCCACAGAACCGTTACTTAGGGCACAGAACCGTTACTTAGGGACACAGAATTGTTACTCAGGGACAGACACAGAATTGTTACTGAGGGACACAGAATTGTTACTGAGGGACACAGAATTGTTACTCAGGGACAGACACAGAATTGTTACTGAGGGACAGACACAGAATTGTTACTCAGGGACAGGGACACAGAATTGTTACTCAGGGGGACACAGAATTGTTACTCAGGGACAGACACAGAATTGTTACTGAGGGACACAGAATTGTTACTGAGGACACAGAATTGTTACTGAGGGACACAGAATTGTTACTCAGGGACAGACACAGAATTGTTACTCAGGGACAGACACAGAATTGTTACTCAGGGACAGACACAGAATTGTTACTCAGGGACAAACACAGAATTGTTACTCAGGGACAGACACAGAATTGTTACTCAGGGACAGACACAGAATTGTTACTGAGGGACACAGAATTGTTACTCAGGGACACAGAATTGTTACTGAGGGACACAGAATTGTTACTGAGGGGACACAGAATTGTTACTGAGGGACACAGAATTGTTACTGAGGGACACAGAATTGTTACTCAGGGACACAGAATTGTTACTCAGGGACAGACACAGAATTGTTACTGAGGGACACAGAATTGTTACTGAGGGACACAGAATTGTTACTGAGGGACACAGAATTGTTACTCAGGGACAGACACAGAATTGTTACTGAGGGACAGACACAGAATTGTTACTGAGGGACACAGAATTGTTACTCAGGGACACAGAATTGTTACTCAGGGACACAGAATTGTTACTCAGGGACAGACACAGAATTGTTACTCAGGGACACAGAATTGTTACTCAGGGACACAGAATCGTTGAATTAAAGAGTATGTCAGACAACACGCAGAGGAGTGGCAGAGGAGGCAATGTTTTAGGAGCGAGCAGACGTGGCAGCAGAGGAAGGGGTCGAGGCAGCACTAGTCGCAGCCAGAGGCCAGTGCTCCCGGTGTCACCCAGCGGTCGTGTCTCCACCGACAACCCTGCCGTCATCGATTGGTTGACTCGGTCGTCTTCCTCTTCCCAGGTCACCTCTGACACCTACAGCCAACGGTCGGTGGGTACGTCAGACACAACCGTTAGTTGGCATGGCCCGGGAGCAAGCCCACTGAAATCACGTGTCCTCTACCTGCCCCTGTCCTTTGGTGTTCCCTCACCAAGCGAAGTATCGCATGCTGTGGGCTCAGCCCCACTGTACAGTGAGGAAGAGCTAACAGAGGGCGGTCAGGAACGGGGGGAGACATCCGCCTCTTCAGCAGCCAGGCGAAGAAGTACTGGCGAGGAGAGTGGCTCGGTAGCCGGTCTAGAGACAGGTCTGTCTCCTGACCCACACGCAGCCGAGGGGGCTAGTAGTGAGGCGGAGACCCTAATTGATGATGATGAGGCTGATCGCACTTGGCAGCCTCGTCGTCATCAGGCTATTGCTTCCGCATCATCAGGAGAAGAGGGTGGCAGCTTGGCAGCGAGCAAAACAGTCGGTGGGTTGCCCAGGAGGCAGCAGGGTCGCAGCAGTGTCAGTGGAGGCAAACGGCCACGGAGAGTAGAGCACCAGCTCCACTGCAGCCTACCACCACGGCCAGTAGTGGTGCCGGTTGGTGTGCACGGAGGAAGTAGCAGTCAGCCAGTGAGGAGTATCGGGGGCAAAGTTTCCTACTCGGCGGTGTGGCAATTTTTCGTCAAGCCGCCCGAGGAAGTAAACGTAGCCGTATGTCGACTATGTGGCCAGAAAGTCAAGCGTGGCCAGGGGGCCCCATGTTGGGACTACAGCGTTGCGTCAGCATATGCAGCGTCGCCATTTGGTGGCCTGGGAAAACCGTGATAAAGATACGGCGGTTCTGCCCTGCCCCAGCCCCCCCCACCCCCCGCTCCGTTACTTGCTCCGTCACCCGACGTCAATCGCCCTCTATCAGCCAGTCAAGGCTCCAACACCTCTGCTGAGGGGAGTTGTCGCTCGTTGGCATCTTCCGCTCGTTCAGATGCTCCTTCTCCTGCTACTCCTCTTCACGGATTCCGTCAGCAGTCTTTCTTGGAATCCGTTTCCAAGAGACAACAGTTTGCGAGCACGCACCCGACGGTGCAAAAGCTGAACGTCCTCCTGTGCCAAGTTGCTGGTGCTGCAGTCCCTCCCTTTCCAAGTGGTGGACTCAGCACCTTTCCGAGAAATGATGGCTTGTGCCGCGCCGCGGTGGAGAGTGCCAAGCCGGCATTTCTTCGCCAAAAAGGCAGTGCCAGCCCTGCATTCACATGTAGAAGAGATGGTGGGCCAGTCTTTGAGCATGTCGGTCTCTGCCAAAGTGCACGGCAGCGCCGACGTGTGGAGCTGTAACTAACTACGGTCAGGGACAGTACATGTCATTTACGGCCCACTGGGTGAACGTGGTGCCGGCACAGCCGCACCAGCAACTTGGACAGGTCACGCCGCTTTTGCCCTCCACGTTTGCACGTCCTTGGTCCACAAAAGATGTCCGCCTCTACCACCTCTTCTTCCGCCGTGTCCTCAGCCGCCACCCCCCGCCAAGTCCCATTACCCGACCGGCATATCACATGTGCAGGGCGCAACGGTGTCACGCTGTGCTGCACCTGGTATGCCTTGGCGAACGTAGTCACACAGGGGAGGAACTTCTGAGTGTAATGAACAGAGAAATCGACAGATGGCTGTCTCCGCGCAGAACTGAAAATCGGAACCATGTTGACCGACAACGGAAAGAACATGGTGTCTGCTCTGCGTCAAGGAAGGTTGTGCCATGCGCCATGCATGGCTCACATGTTCAATCTGGTTGTCAAGCGGTTCCTAAAATCCACCATCCCACTGCAAGACATCCTTAAAATGTCACGTAAACTTTGCATGCATTTCAGCCATTCCTACACCGCAAAGCACACCCTCCTTGAGCTGCAGCGGCAGAACGGAATTCCACAGCATCGCCTGATCTGCGACGTTGCAACAAGGTGGAATTCAACCCTACACATGTTAGACCGCCTTTACGAACAGCGAAAGGCCATCACCGATTTCCTGATGTTACAAGCGGATAAAGGTACTCCCCTGTGTAACTTAGATGTCAGCCATTGGCAGCTCATGCGTGACACCTGCCGCTTGCTCAGGCCCTTTGAGGAGGCCATGCTATTCGTGAGTCGGCAGGACTATGGGATGAACGACGTCATTCCTCTGTTGCACGTCCTGGAACAAATGCTGTTAACAATGGCTGGTCAGGGTGCGGTAGACGTGGCGCACAGATCTCAACGCCACATGACCCCTGTGGGGGCAGGACAGGAAGAAGAGGAGGAGGTAGAGGAGGACATTTGTGCTCAGGAATTATTGAGTGAAATGGGTGGTTTTTCCACTCAGCGGACAGGAGTGGAGGAGCAGGAGCATCTGGTAGAGGAGGAGGAGGAGACAGAGGACCCAGACGCACCGTGGCAGTATGCTGTGGAGATGGAGGCAGGGAGTCCCTCGCATTCCTTGGCACAAATGGCCCATAGCATGCTCGGTTGCTTGCGTAGCGACAGCCGAATAATAACCATCAGACAGAGGGATGACTTTTGGCTGTCCACCTTGTTGGACCCTCGCTACCGTTCAAAAATGGTGGCCTTTTTCACACCTGCTGAGAGGGAGGCCAAAATAACGTACTATAAAAACCACCTATGTAGTCAGTTGGTCTCTGCCTTTCTGCGCCAACGTCCATCCTCAGACACTGTGGGCCCTGTGCGCTCGCGTTCCGCTGCCATGGCAGCAGGGGAGGGGTGGGGGGTGGTAGGAGCAGTGGCAGCTCCACCAGCAGCAGCTGCCTCAGTCTGCAGTCGATGATGAGTAGCTTTCTTCACCAGCGCAGTGAGGAAACTACTAACCAGCCGCAGCAGCAGCAGCATCAGGTAGACCTGGAGCAGGACCTCAAACAACAGGCTTGGGCCTACTTGGACAGCACCCTGCCAACCGAGGTAAACAATCCCCTTGACTACTGGGCAACGAAACTTGACCTTTGGCCCCAACTAGCTGAATTTGCCCTTGAAAGGCTGTCATGCCCGGCCAGTAGCGTGGCATCGGAGCGCGTGTTTAGTGCGGCAGGAGGTATTGTAACTCCGCGGAGGACACGACTGTCCACCCAAAGTGTGGAGAGACTCACGTTTGTGAAAATGATTCAGGCGTGGATTAGTCTGGATTTCAAACCACCAGTTCCTGACACAACTGACTAAATCCGCCATGAATCATGCCCCAAACATGTGCCACTTTCAGGTCTCCTCACACTGCTGGTGTGTTCCATTTTTTGTCATAGGGTGCTGGCAGATTACGGGCCTCCCATTGCTGCTGCCAGGCTCGTAATCTGCCATGGGCCCCTATACCGCCTCCTCATGCTGCTGCCAGGTCCAGAGTCTCTCATGGGTCCCTGTACGGCCTCCCATTGCTGCTGTCTCTATCGCCACACTCTGCCATGTGCCACTTTCAGGTCTCCTCACACTGCTGGTGGGTTCCATTTTTGTCATAGGGTGCTGTATGGCCTCCCATTGCTGCTGCCTCCACCGCCACACTGTGGCTCCACACTCTGGTTTTGGCCCCGTGACTGCCCAAATGAGTGAAGTGTGCGGTGATTCTAAGTTCGACGGCACTCATCTGCATGTCATACTGACTGACAGTATTATTTCTCTTCCCCAGCAGACTCCAAGGGCATTTAAATTAAAGGTACAGTGTTCTGCACTAATATGAAGGCTCTCTGAAGCCTAGAAACACCCTTTTATAAGTTAAATTCGCAGCGAATATATTCGCATCGAATCAAATTTATTCCTCGAATTTGCCGAATCAGCCGAATCGAATTTTTGAATACTTTGCTCATCTCTAGTTGTGATGTATAGAGGGCTTCAGCAGTGGCCCCTAAGGTCACCAAATGGGCCGTGAATGATATAAAGTATTATTATTATTATACAGGATTTATATAGCGCCAACAGTTTGCTCAGCACTTTACAATATAATGGGAGACAATACAGCAACAATACAGTTCAATACAAGAGGGATAGGAGGGCCCTGATCCTGGGAGCTTACAATCTAAAAGGGAGGGGCTAGTGGCACAAAAGTAACTGTAGTAACTGTGGGGGATGGACTGGTAGGAGGAATAGAAGATTCCATTATTAGTTGAGGGCAGGATAGGCTTCCCTGAAGAGATAGGTTTTCAGAGATCGCCTAAAAGTGAGCAGAGTAAGCGATAGTCTGAATGGGGTAGAGAGTTCCAGAGGATGGGGGAAGCTCTGGAGAAGTCCTGGAGACGAGCATGGGAGGAGGACAAAAGGGAGCTAGAGCGCAGGAGGTCGTGCGAGGAGCGGAGAGGACTGTTTGGGTGATATTTGGAGACAAGATTGGTGATGTAATTTGGGGCGGAGTTATAAATGGCTTTATATGTGATTGTTAATGTTTTGAATTTTATTCATTGGGCAATGGGAAGCCAGTGGAGGGATTAGCAGAGAGGTGTGGAGGACACTGAGTGGAGGCCACTGGAGGGATTGGCAGAGAGGGATGGAGGCCAGTAGAGGAATTGGCAGAGAGGGATGGAGGCCAGTAGAGGGACTGGCAGAGAGGGATGGAGGCCAGTGGAGAGACTGGCAGAGGAGGATGGAAGCCAGTGGAGGGATTGGCAGAGAGGGATGGAGGCCAGTGGAGGGACTGGCGGAGAGGGATGGAGGCCAGTGGAGGGACTGGCAGAGGTGGAGGGATTGGCAGAGAGGGATGGAGGCCAGTGGAGGGACTGGCAGAGAGGGATGGAGGCCAGTGGAGGGACTGGCAGAGAGGGGTGGAGGCCAGTGGAGGGATTGGCAGAGAGGGATGGAGGCCAGTGGAGGGATTGGCAGAGAGGGATGGAGGCCAGTGGAGGGACTGGCAGAGGAGGATGGAGGCCAGTGGAGGGACTGGCAGAGAGGGGTGGAGGCCAGTGGAGGGATTGGCAGAGAGGGATGGAGGCCAGTGGAGGGATTGGCAGAGAGGGGTGGCAGATATGGAATGGTTAGTAAGGTGGATGAGTCTGGCAGCAGCATTCATGATAGACTGAAGAGGGGATAGCCTGCGATGAGGTCGGCCAATGAGGAGGGAGTTACAGTAGTCAAGGCGAGAGATAACCAGGGCGGGAAGAAGTTGCTCAGTATATGTAATGCAAGAGAAGACTTTACAAAATCCACACTCCCACTGCTGACCGAGGGCCGCAAGGGAAGCACCCACGGGGCCACAGATTGGGCTGCAGGGTTCCATGAAATATGGAACAGCAAAGGTGTCACATGCAACGGTCACAGTACAGACAGTGATTAGGGTATATGTTCTAGTTCTCCTTAGTGTTGCAGATGGGGGCTGAGGGATAAAAATACTCCCATGGTGTCTTACATCACACCCCCCAGTGTGGCACTTAGAAGGAGGAACAGGAAAGGCTGGCGGGTTGTGTAACACTCTGAGCACAGATTGAGCTGTGCCCGTTGTCTGCAGATGGTTGTGCTGAGGGACCAGCAGGAAGGAAACAGCTGCAGCAGCTCCATCTCACAGAAGATGCTACAGACCGCAGGACAGGCGCTGTCCCCCCGACCGTGACAACTGACAGGACCCCCAACTCGCCTCCAAATCATGGCTATCAAAGCCACTGCCACAGCTTTAATTATTCCTTAAAGGGTCAGTCCATCCAAAAAGTGTCTGAGCTGCTCCATCAGTGATGGCTCCCTACTGAGATTCCAGCTCCGTTCCAGTTCCTCCTGTTACATCTTCCATAATATAAAATACAATACATTTAGGTCCCTATATATTTGGACATAGGCACAATTTTTTTTTTTTCAGGTATTTACCAAAACATATTCAAGCTATAGTTCTGTAATGGATATGGGCTGAAAGTGCACACTCTCGTGTTTAATTTGAGGGTATATACATCCAAATTGAAGGAAGGGTTTAGGAATTACAGCTCTTAAGAGTAGCCACCCCCCTTTTTCAAGGGACCAAAAATAATTGGACAGTTGAAACAGCTGTTTCATGGCCAGGTGTGGGCTACTCTTTCATTATTTCTTCAATTAAGCAGGTAAAAGGTCTGGAGTTGATTCTAAGTGTGGGATTTGCATTTGGAATCTATTGCTGTGAACCAACATCATGCGTTCATTGGAGCTGCCCATGCAATGGAAACAGGCCATTGTAAGGCTTCAAAATGAAACAAATCCATCAGAGAGATATTAGGAGTGTTCAAATAAACAGTTTGGTACATTCTGAGGAAAGAAGAACGCACTGGTGAGCTCAGCGACATAAAAAGACATGGACATCCACGGAAGACAACAGTGGTGGATGATCGCAGGATCCTCTCTATGGTAAAGAAAAACCCGTCCACAACATCCGTTCACAACAAATGAAGGACGCTCTCCAGGAGGTGGGCGTATCGTTGTCAAAGTCTACAATCAAGAGAAGACTTCACGAGAGCAAATACAGAGGGTTCACCACAAGGTACAAACCAATCATAAGCCTGAAGAATAAAAAAGCCAGATTAGACTTTGCCAAAAACCAGTCAGACCAGTTCTGGAAAAGCATTCTTTGGATGGATTCTGTAGCAGAATGACGGGAAGAAAAAAGTGTGGAGAAGGCTTGGAACAGCTCATGATCCAAAGCACACAACATCATCTGTAAAACATGGTGGAGGCAGCGTGATGGCATGGGCATGCATGGCATTGGTGTTTATTGATGATGTGACAGAAGCAGCCCGAAGAATTCTGCAGTGTTTACAGATATACTGTCAGCCCAGATTCAGCCAAATGCAGCAAAGTTGATTGGACGGCGCTTCACAGTACAGATGGACAATGAGCTAAAACACACTGCAAAAGCAACCCAGGAGCTTTTGAAGGAAAAGAAGTGGAATATTCTGCAATGGCTGAGTCAATCACCTGATCTCAACCCCATTGAGCATGCATTTCACTTGCAAGGCAAAACTAAAGGCAGAAAGACCCACAAACAAAGAACAACTGAAGACAGCTGCGGTTAGAGCCTGGCAAAGCATCCGAAAGGAGGAAATCCGGTCTTTGGTCATGTCCATGGCTTCCAGACTTCAGGCAAAGCATCAGAAAGGAGGAAACCCGGTCTTTGGTCATGTCCATGGCTTCCAGACTTCAGGCAAAGCATCCGAAAGGAGGAAATCCGGTCTTTGGTCATGTCCATGGCTTCCAGACTTCAGGCAAAGCATCAGAAAGGAGGAAACCCGGTCTTTGGTCATGTCCATGGCTTCCAGACTTCAGGCAAAGCATCCGAAAGGAGGAAACCTGGTCTTTGGTCATGTCCATGGCTTCCAGACTTCAGGCAGTCCTTGCCAGTATAGGATTCTCAACAAAATATTAAAACTGAACATTTTTTTTTAATGATTATATTCATTTGTCCAATTACATTTGAGCCCCTGAAAATGGAGGGACTATGTATAAAAATGGTTGCAGCTCCTAAAATTTGTACTTGATATTTATGTTCAACTCCTTGAATTAAAGCTGAAAGTCTGCACTTCATTTGGATTGTTTCGTTTTAATTTATTCTGGTGGCATACAGAGCCAAAAGTATGAAAATTGTGCCTGTGTCCAAATATATATGGACCTATCTGTATATAGCAAGGATGGTGAGAACCCCTCACAATGAGCACAACAGGTGTACAGACCCAGGAACTCAGCACAGGGATGGTGGAAACCCCTTATAATGGGCACAGCAGGTGTACGGACCCAGGAACTCAGCACAGGGATGGTGGGAACCCTTCACAATGAGCACAGCAGGTGTACGGACCCAAGAACTTAGCACAGGGATGGTGGGAACCCTCACAATGAGCGCAGCAGGTGTACAGAGGGAACTCAGCACAGGGATGGTGGGAACCCCTCAAAATGAGCATAGCAGGTGTACAGACCCAGGAACTCAGCATAGGGATGGTGGGAACCCCTTATAATGGCCACATATATATTTATCTGTGTGCAGGCTCCTTGTTCCTCCCACGGATCACAGTCACCCCCTCCTGGCTGAGTTGTGTAATACAATATGATGAAGGTGTTTGTGCATGTGTGTGTGTGTCAAGCTTACTAATGTCAGAGTCTGCCCATGACTGATCTCCTCCTGGTGCCATAGCTGTATACTGCTGTGACACCATCATGAGCAAACTAAAGTCCTGGTCCACAGAGCTGACACTCAGGATGAGTAATTGGCAGAGGGGGATGACCTGGTGGGAGTTACAATTAATTTTTTTTGCAAAGTCTGACAAATATAAGAGCAAATATTGCCTTTCCCTTGTTCCTCCCTCCCACTTCATCAACATAATGTAATTAATAAATATAAGCTTTCCATTTTCATTCCATACCTTATTTTACACCCAGTGATGTCATCACTGTGTCTCGGTGCTTCTCTATGCAATGCAGGCAGATCGTGGCAGGGGGCTGTACTGAAGGGAAGGCGGGAGGTCAGGGACAGAGCATTGTCACCCTATAAAAATAAGTGCCTGTACAAGGACCCTTCATGGCAGGATCACAGGGATTATTGGAAGCTGCAGAATAACAGTGATTGAAAATGACTTTTGAAATGACATTCACCTGTTATAGCTTCTATGAGATTTCAGTGAGAGGAAATTCTTCCCCAAACGGCTCTGACGCCCCCTATCTGTGTCTTGCAGGAGAAGACCTACCTGTGTATTGCGGCCTCAGACAGCAGCAGCCAGAACCTGTGAGTAGTCATTCCCATTATACTGTACATAAATGAGTGAATCCAGAATCGAAGCTCCACGCTATGATATTCAAGTCCAGATACAAGTTTATTCTAAGGTCAGACTGTTTATAACCCGATACATGTCAGGGCTGTGGCTCCGCCTCCTCACCTGGGCTTAAATGAAAATCAAATAGTAAAAAAAAAAATAATAATTAATAATAATAATAATAATATAATAAAATATATATATATATATATATACACACACACACTGCATGTTGAAATGTGTTTTTTATATATTACAAAATATATGACAAATATTTTTGAATATATATTTTTTAAATCTATTCTTCAGATTTTTTTTACATATAAAAAAGTCATTTTAACATATATTTTTACATATATTTGTAAATGCATTCCAAAAGTGTATTAAATGTATTTTTAAAGACATACAGTATATTTGAAAATGTATTTTACCCACCTCCCGCCCGCCATATAGTAATATGACGGACACAAGGCGGTTCTCTCGTTCTGGGAGGACGTCATATGACGTCCTCCCATTCCCACTGCACATGCGCAGCTCAGGGAGGGCGCAGTGCGGCGATCGGCGGTGCGCTGTGTCCCTCGGACGCAGCGGATCACCGATCACGGAAAGAGCCGAAAATGTTGGCTCGGTCATGTGATCAGCTGTGTCCAATCACAGTTGATCACATGTAAACATGGAAATGCTGATTATCGGCATTTCTCTCCTCTCGAGCTGTCACACTGACAGAGAAGAGGAGAGGAGAGACGGTAATCGGCTTTCCACGGAGGGGACATGTACACTGATCATCAGGGGACTGATGATCAGTGTAGCCCCAGCAGTGCCACCTGTCAGTGTCCATCAGTTCCAGCTGTCAGTGCTGATCAGTGCCATGTGCCAGTGCCAGTGCCCACATCAATGCCATCATCAGTGCCACATGCAATGTCACATATCAGTGCCTACCAGTGCACATCAATGCCACATATCAGTGCCCATTTGAGCTTCCTTTCATTTTCTCCCATCTGAGCTGCCTTTCAGTGTCACCTATCAGTGCCAGTCAGTGCCACCTATCAATGCCAATCAGTGCCACCTATCAGTGCCAGTCAGTGCCGCCTATCAGTGCCATGTATCAGTGCTGCCTTTCAGTGCCCATCAGTGATGCCTGTCAATGCCCATCAGTGCCACCTACCAGTGCCTCCTCATCAGTGCCCATCAGTGCCATCTATCAGTGTCCATCAGTGCAGCCTATCAGTGCCCATTACTGCAGCCTCATTAGCGCACATCAGTGAAGGAGAAAAATCACTTTATTTACAGAATTTTATAACAAAAACTACCGGTAAGAAAAAACTTTTTTTTCCCAACATTTTCAGTGGTTTTTGGTTTGTTTAAGAAAAAATAAAAAACCCCGAGGTGATTAAATACCACCAAAATAAAGCTCTATCTGTCACAAAAAAAGATAAACATTTCATATGGGTACAGTGTTGCATGACCGCGCAATTGTCATTCAAAGTGTGACAGCGCTGAAAGCTGGAAATTGGCCTGGACTGGAAGGGGGTACAAGTGCCCTGTAGGCTTGTGGTTAAAAAATATTTTTCATATATTTTGTAATAAAAATGCATTTCAGCATACAGTGTATATATATATATATATTTTTTTTTTTAAATGTTTTTTAAATATATTGAATACGGCCACAATTGTAGTATTTCAAATATATGTCAATATATTTGGGAAGAATATTTTTTAAATATTTTTTAAATATATTTTTCTTCCAAGTAGACAGCTCATGATCCAAGGTGAAGTTCGCTAGCTGGCAGGACCGGTTCCAATCCTTTGACAAATGTAACAGTGGTCACGTGATCGCCAATCCTTCTGTCCCCCCCCCCCCCCCCAGGCATTCTGAACTATTTAACCACTCTAAGACCAGGCATATTCTGACACTTGTCACATTTGTGTAAAAAAAAAAGTGTTTTTTGCTAGAAACTTACCTAGAACCCCCAGTTTTTGTTTTTTATGTCATGTGATATTTGTGCAGCGGTTTTTCAAACACAACATTTTTTGGAAGGGGTGGAAAGGAGTTAAAATATCAGTAAATGAGCATTTAGGAAGAACTGTACGTATCTGGTTTGGTCTGAGGTGGGCTCAGGTAAATTTTACTGAAGTTCAAATGTTGAATCTGAATCCCATTGAAATCAGTGGGAGCCAAATTTTAAAGACCAGTAATGGACATTTTGTAGTATGGTGCGGGAAACCATGCGATAGCTGTGTTTCCCGCACCACTTTCAAATCGCACTGACCTTGCAATCTGCAGCAGATGTCCTAGATTGTAAGCTCCCAGGATCAGGGCCCTCCTAACCCTCTTTTATTGAACTGTATTGTTGCTGTATTGTCTCCCGTTATATTGTAAAGCGCTGAGCAAACTGTTGGTGCGATATAAATCCTGTATAATAATAATATATAAATCCTGTATAATAATAATATATAAATCCTGTATAATAATAGTAATATATAAATCCTGTATAATAATAGGAATATATAAATCCTGTATAATAATATATAATCCTGTATAATATATATAAATCCTGTATAATAATAATATATAAATCCTGTATAATAATAATAATATATAAATCCTGTATAATAATAATATATGAATCCTGTATAATAATAATATAATATATAAATCCAGTGTATAATAAAAAATAATAATATAATAAATCCTGTATAATAATAATAATATAATATATAAATCCTGTATAATAAAAAATAATAATATAAATCCTGTATAATAATAATATAATATATAAATCCAGTATAATAATAATATATAAATCCTGTATAATAATAATATATAAATCCTGTATAATAATAATAATAATATATAATAAATCCTGTATAATAATAATAACATATACATCCTGTATAATAATATTAATCATGTGTATAATAATAATATAAATATAATATAAAATCCTGTATAATATAATATAATATATAAATCCTTTTAATAATAATATAAAATCCTGTATAATAATATAATATACATAAATCCTGTATAATAATAATATATAAATCCTGTATAATAATAATAATATATAAATCCTGTATAATAATAATAATATAATACATAAATCCTGTATAATAATAATATATAAATCCTGTATAATAATAATATAATATAAAATCCTGTATAATAATAATAATATATAAATCCTGTATAATAATAATAATATAATATATAAATCCTGTATAATATAATATATAAATCCTGTATAATAATAATATAATATATAAATCCTGTATGATACTATAATACATAAATCCTGTATAATAATAATATATAAATCCTTAATAATAATAATATATAAATCCTGTATAATAATATAATACATAAATCCTGTATAATAATAATATATAAATCCTGTATAATAATAATAATATATAAATCCTGTATAATAATAACAATAATATAAATCCTGTATAATAATCATAATAATAATAATGTCAGTGCTATGTTAACAAGACCCCGAACGCAGGTTGCAAACGCAGTGCTACAAAAGTGCCATGCGACCCAGTTGTAGTACGGTTCTGAAATTGGTGAATGCACGACTTTGGTGCAATTTGAGCCTATTCAAAATGAATGAGCTCAAACCGCACTGCACGGCATGTGAATTGAACAGGAATAAGGTGCGGTTCCTGCGTCATTTACATGCAGTTCATAGTGTGAACCGAGGCTAATAGACAAGAAAATGTTAACATGTGATATGGGGGGGGGGGGGGGGGCTGGGGTGCTGCCCTGGGGGACAGGTAGCAAAACAAAAAAATGTAAAAAATTCAGTTTTGGCGGGGAGCAGTGATTTTAGTAAAACTTGAAACATTCAAAATGCTAAATTCCCTTACATACCTTACCTGGGAGATGTCCTGAGCCTCCGTATGAAGATCAGATCTGTACGATGTACACAACCTACTGCACAGCAACACTGACATTTACAAGGAAGATCGGCCATTTAAATTGCCGGCCAATGGCAGCTCCCGGCTGCTTCCCTCAGTTTGTACACAAAGTGGCCGGGGATCTCTTTTGCTAACCCCGGACCAGACCAGTACAGGGTTCCCCCTATAAATACACAACAGACGTTTTGGTAACACATTTGAGTCAAAGAATAAGTTCGTGGTGTGAGTCGGTCCACCAAACTCCACCTGGGACTAAGAGATCACTTTTGGGTGGATTGACTTCCAAGCAAATTCATGATAGTGGACTAAAAATAAACACATTTTTGTCATAATATTTTATTATTAATTTTCTCTGCAATTTATTGGTAAATTGTCCAGATGCACACATCAGATCTAAAATAGGGACTGCTGTGAGGTAAAGAGGGACAGAGGGACTTGGGTGCAGAAGAGGGACCATTGTGGGGTATTGATTGAGGGATGGGACAGAGGAACTTGGGTACAGAAGAGGGGGACTTGGTTGTAGAAGCGGGACACCATGTGGGGTACCATTGTGGGGTATTGAGAGATAGGGACAGAGGGACTTGGGGTGCCGAACCAGGACCACTTGGGTGCAGAAGAGAGACTACTGTAGGGTATTGAGGGACAGGACAGAGGGATATGGGTGCAGAAGAGGGACCATTTTGGGGGGGGACTACTGAGAGATAAGACAGAGGGACTTAGGTGCAGAACATGGACCACTGTGGGATAAGGAGTGACTTAGGTGCAGAAGAGGGACTACTGTGGGGTATTGAGGGACAGGACAGAGGGATTTGGGTGCAGAAGAGGGACCATTGTGAGCTACTGAGGGACAGGACAGAGGGACTTGGGTGCAAAAGAGGGACAGAGGGACTTGGGTGTAGAAGCGGGACCACTGTGGGGTAAGGAGGACTTGGGTGCAGAAGAGGGACTACTGTGGGGTAAAGAGGGACTGAGAAATGTAGGTGCAAAAGAGGGACAGAGAGACTTGGGTGCAGAAGAGGAACCACTGTGGAGTAAAAAAGGATAAAGG